GCGTTAACAACACTCCTCTTGTACCTGTCCGGGCAGTCACTGTTGGCATTCAGGCACATTCCTATGTTTGTTTCCTTAGTGTAGACTGCAGTGTGGAAAACTCCGCTCCTTTCCATGACTGTTACATCTAGAAAGGGCAGCTTCCCATCCTTCTCCATCTCGTAAGTGAAACGCAACACAGAATTCTTCTCAAAAACCTCCTTCAGCTCCTGCAGATGTCTGACATCAGGTACCTGTGTAAAAATGTCGTCAACATACCTGCAGTATATGACCGGTTTCAAGTTCATGTCGACTAAGACTTTTTGCTCGATGGTACCCATGTAGAAGTTCGCAAACAGGACACCAAGGGGAGAACCCATGGCGACCCCATCTACTTGCTTATACATGTGTCCATCCGGGCTCAAGAAGGGTGCCTCTTTAGTACAAGCTTGGAGTAGTTTCCTTAGACTGTTTTATTGTATGTCAAGAGGAGTACAGGCCGGATCACTGTACACTCTGTCGGCTATCATCCCGATTGTATCATCCACAGGTACGTTGGTAAACAGAGATTCTACGTCCAACGAGGCTCTTATTCTTGTGGCCCGTGTTCCCCGCAGCAAGTCAACAAATTCCTTTGGAGACTTCAGGCTGAAGGCGCAAGGGACATAAGGAGTCAGCAAGCCGTTGAGTTGTTTCGCCAGTCTGAACGTGGGTGTGGGTATCTGGCTGATGATTGGCCAAAGTGGGTTTCCAGGTTCGTGTGTCTTGACATTTCCATACGCATATCCAGGTTTATATTCCCCAATAATCTTTGGCAGGTGGAGTCCAGATTTCTTGGCGTTCACAGTTTCGATCAATTTGTTGACCTTTGCTTTCAGTTCGGCTGTAGTGTCCTTCGTTACCCTTTGGAATTTAGTTTCGTCAGAGAGTATGAGGTTCATTTTCGCCAGATATTCGTCTTTTTTAAGAATGATGTATATTGGCGACTTGTCGCCTCTCCCGACAACTATCTCCTTGTTCTCACGAAGGCTCTTAGCTGCCGCTTTGAGCTCGGGGGACAGCAATAGCAATGGTAATCTTGGGCATAGCATTATATCAAATCACCTCATTTTTTGGGGCACACGTGAGGAACACAAATGCAAACAAGCCTGAATGGTCCCCAGGACTATATGCGACTGAAAACTCACACCCCTGAAGTGACTCGAACCCATACACCCAGGAGCAGCACAACTGGTAATTACAGGACGCCTTAATCCGCTTGACCATCACGACCGGACAATAAGCAAGTGATAGCCGAAGCTATTTGAACCACTTCCCCGCCGGCACTCGGATGGTAATCTTGGGTATAGCATTTTATCACGTGTTCCTCGCGTGTTCCCCAAAGATTGATGTGATTTGATAAAATGCTATGCCCAAGATTACCATCTGCGTGCCGACGGGGAAGTGGTTCAAATAGCTTCGGCTATAACTTCCTTATTGTTCGGTCGTGATGGTCAAGCGGATTAAGGCGTCCTGTAGTTACCAGTTGCGTTGCTCCTGGGAGTATGGGATCGAGTCACTTCTGGGGTGTGAGTTTTCAGTCGCATATAGTCCTGGGGACCATTCAGGCTTGTTTGCATTTGTGTTCCTCACATGTGCCCCAAAGAATGAGGTGATTTGACAAAATGCTATGCCCAAGATTACCATCCGAGTGCCGGCGGTGGGGTGGTTCAAATAGCTTCCGCTATCACTTACTTATTTTCCGGTCGTGATGGTCAAGTGGATTAAGGCGTCCTGTAGTTACCAGTTGCGTTGCTCCTGGGAGTATGGGTTCGAGTCACTTCTGGGGTGTGAGTTTTTGGTCTCATATAGTCCTGGGGACCATTGAGGCTTGTTCGCATTTGTGTTCCTCATGTGTGCCCCAAAGAATGAGATGATTTGATAAAATGCTATGCCCAAGATTACCATCCGAGTGCCAGCGGAGAAGTGGTTCAAATAGCTTCGGCTATCACTTCCTTGTTGTCCGGTGGTGATGGTCAAGCAGATTAAGGCGTCCTGTAGTTACCAGTTGCGTTGCTCCTGCGAGTATGGGTTCGAGTCAATTCTGGTGTGTGAGTTTTTAGTCGCATATAGTCCTGGGGACCATTTAGGCTTGTTTGCATTTGTGTTCCCCAAACAATGAAGTGATTTGATAAAATGCTATGACCAAGATTACCATCCGAGTGCCGGCGGGGAAGTGGTTCAAATAGCTTCGGCTATCACTTCCTTATTGTCCGGTCGTGATGGTCAAGCGGATTAAGGCGTCCTGTAGTTACCAGTTGAGTTGCTCCTGGGAGTATGGGTTCGAGTCACTTCTGGGGTGTGAGTTTTCTGTCATATATATTATGTATGTATATATGTAAATAAGTTGTACCTAGTAGCCAGAACGTCGTACTCGGCCTGCTATGCAAGGCCCGATTTGCCTAATAAGTCAAGTTTTCCTGAAATAATATATTTTCTCAAATTTTTTTCTTATGAAATGATAAAGCTACCCATTTCATTATGAATGAGGTCAATTTTTTATATTTGAATTAAAATTAACGTAGATATATTACCGAACCTAACTAACCCTACCTAATCTAACCTAACCTATCTTTATAGGTTAGATTAGGTTAGGTAGCCGAAAAAGTTAGGTTAGGTTAGGTTAGGTAGTCGAAAAAACATTAATTCATGAAAACTTGGCTTATTAGGCAAATCGGGCTTTGCATAGTAGACTGAGAAGTGCGTTCTGGCTACTAGGTACGACATATATATATATATATATATATATATATATATATATATATATATATATATATATATATATATATATATATATATATATATATATATATATATATATATATATATATATATATATATATATATATATATATATATATATATATATATATATATATATATATATATATATATATATATATATATATATATATATGATGACCGAATAATTAAGATAAATAATTTTAATACGAATTTTTTCTTTATTTCTTATGTTTCTTTTTACTGTCGATGGTCATTGAAAAATCAATTGTCTAAAATTCATTTTTATTTCTAGTCTGACGCAACGCCTAAATGTGTTTCGTAATAACTCATTACATTTTCAAAAACTTTAGTTTACACACACAATTGTAACCAGAAAACACCAAACAGAGTTTTACTTATGCTAATCACTTAAACAGCTTATCCGTCTTATATACTCGCACTTGGGTGAGGTGATATGTTGCAACAGTTTTGGATGAGGTGAACAAACTTTTGACAAACACAAGACAGAACACGGAACAATGGGTATTAATTGGATATATGAGAGCATAAGAATGAAAATAACTGCAAAGGACCTATTGGCCCATATTACCTCTTGATGCTTCTATATTGGTACGGAGTCTTGAAGTGGGTAGAATATAGTTGTGTATTAATTGGCTGTTGATTGCTGGTGTTGACTTTTTGATGTGTAGTGCCTCGCAGATGTCAAGCCGCCTGCTATCGCTGTATCTATTGATGATTTCTGTGTTGTTTGTTAAGACTTTTCTGGTGATGGTCTGGTTGTGGGAAGAGATTATATGTTTCTTAATGGAGCCCTGCTGCTTATGCATTGTTAATCGCCTGGAAAGAGATGTTGTTGGCTTGCCTATATGCTGAGTTCTTTAGGGCTTACAGTCCCCAAGTGGGCATTTGAAGGCATAGACTACGTTGGTCTCCTTTAAGGCGTTCTGCTTTGTGTCTGAAGAGTTTTTCATGAGTAGGTTGGCTGTTTTCTTGGTTTTACTAATATATATATATATATATATATATATATATATATATATATATATATATATATATATATATATATATATAAATGCTTCATTACTTTGCTTGCATGTATGTGGCTAGAGACTAAAACCATTTGTATGCACGTTGTATGTTATTAAGTTTAAGCAATACAAATATTCTGCTATAATTGTTATTAAGTGACTTCAATTAGTTGTGGTTTGTGGCCCTCATGACAACACAAATGTGGCCCATATAGCCCTCAGGGGACCCTCAGTTTGACATGCCTGCTCTAAATACCTAGGAAAAGCTTGATTTGGTTATTGCCTTTTTTTCGTGGTATTTACAGAATTAATAATACAAAATGGTAATTTTTTGTTTTCAGTGCAATACTCGGATTTTGCACCTGCATCCATAGGACCAATAGTACTACAATTTTCTAGATGACAGGTTGGACACTACACTTCCACTTAAATCATTCAATATAAATAAATCTTGGGTTCTAAGCTTGGGTACATAACAGCTGCTAGATATCAGCAAAACATTAAGGGTCAGATACTGAGAAAACGGTTAAATGTATGAATCCAAATATATAAGGTTTATATCTAAAAGTGTTTAATAGGACTTTTAAATACGTTATTCATATTTCTCCTCCTCTAGTTAGACCTGACTTGTGGTACAGGATTGGTTACAGTGCTCTGAATAGAACATGGTTATTAAAACACCCAGAGAAGGAGAACTGAGTTAATTCTAATAAATTAAAATGAAACATTGTTAAACGTACAAATGAATGAACTGGCTTACTAAAAGGGATATTAGCGGGAGTTGTCTGGAAGAGTTACCAAGTATATAGCAGTTACACTCATGAGTGTGGCTGCCGCCTTATGGTTACACGACCATAACAATATGGCCGGGAACATATTGGCGCTGGCTCGAACAGTTCATCAGGACATCAGTTTTCATTATTCTTATGTATTTACTTTCTTCCAGTAACAGATGGGTTTCAGAACAAAATGTTTTGTTTTGATTTTTTATCATATTTCCAGTTCTTAACAACTGATTTTGTTACTGTATTAGTACCATTTTATCGAGAAAATCAGTAGGAGCCATGCACCATTTTTTCATTACTAAATCATTAGGTCGTTCAGTTTGATATAATTTTAAATTACCCGATTGTGTAATCTCATTTTAATATATCCCTGAAAAACACTAGTTTAAGAGAGTACACCTCGTTTCACATTCCTGGTGGTCAGGTATAAGGAAAACGTGATGAGGATGTCAGCGGGGATGAGGGACCAGCCGACGTCCCCCAGGGACCGTGCAGTGTTCTGGACGGAGTACGTCATCCGCCACCGTGGGGCGCCCCAGCTGAGGTCCCCGGCGGCACAGCTCTCCTGGGTGGAGTTCCTAATGCTCGACGTCCTGCTTCTTCTCCTCCTGGCTCTCTCCCTTCTCTGCTTCATCCTTCGTCGGATCCTTATTGTTGTCTCTGTAAAAATGTTCGGTAGTGGCAGCAGCAAAAAGAAGCAAGATTAGTCTTTCTCTGATGTGATCATTGCTCACGTGTGTGGCAGTGAAGGTAATGTGGGAAAAGAGACAGTTGTCTAGGTGACATCTCATAAACATTTTGGGAAAACATGTAATTAATTAAATAGTTAATAACAACATTTATTTGGATTATATTGTCAACAAGAAGTTCATTAATGTTTCATTGCTAGTAAAGATTTAGATCAGTGAAAACGCTTTCATTCATGTCTTCTAATTGTTTCTGTTACATAAACAGGAGCATCAAAGGTTACAAGGTATTAATATATAATCCCTTATGGTTTAATACAGCATTAGCTAATAACCTCTGATGTTATAATAGGGCTGTACCAAGCAAACACAAAACGTTGTTTCAACCCCCCCCCCCAATCGTTTCCAAAGGGTTGTGGGAATGACAAGTAGTGAAAATGCTGCAGAAAGCATTTGAGCAACGTTTAATCCTAAAAAAATAAAACTAATTATATATAAAATTTTATTTTATTATATACGTTTTTTCTAAAATTATTTTATTCCTAATGTATTAAAAATACTTTTACATGTGTAAATAACAAATTTTTGGACTTTTAGTAAATTCATTAATAAATTGTGAATTTTATTTAATGGCTGTATGCAACATTCTTTAAACATTTAGTTATTCGATAATCGGAATAAATTGATTTTCTTAATTTTGCTAAAATCGCTCCTTTAACCCTATTTGACTCCTTATCTATCCCACTAAACACTAATATGTTCAAATTTTTAATTTATGTATTATTCCCTAAAATACTTTAAGCAACATATTCAATTTATATAATGTGAAAAATTTGATCATGAATTGGAATTTATTTTTGTGAATTTGAAATCATTTAACTTCTTTATCCTTATTCCTGTCGTGATATTCTAACATTACATCCGTCAAATTTAGCTGAAAGTCTAGATTTGTCTCTTGAGGAAGGACTTGCTTAGGTAACACGCTAAGTGTTGTAAGCAGCTCATTTCTCACTCTGGGACCATAGGGGAACAACTGACTAGGCGTGAGCAAACACCGAGACCTCAAGAGTTTGAAATCCTCTTCACTTCGTCATTCGCAGGAGCGAATCTAACTAGTAGGCCACGGGTTCTCACAACATTTAATTTGCTGTGTGGTGCTATGAATTCCACTCTTATCCTCAAAATCAATCTCAAATGAATAACAATAGTAACAGATAGCATGAAAATCAATAAAATATGTGGGGTGTTCGAAAAGACAGTGTTCAACATAACAACACAGTTTAGTACAGTTAGTACAAAGTACTAACTACTACAACAATGAAAGAAATATCAATGACGTTACTTGAAATCCTTCCTGTGATACCTTTACTGACAGTAAAGCAAACGTCAGTAAAGCAGCCACGAGTGCTGGAAAATAACTAACTTGAACATACTGAGTAATCACAGAGGAATCCATCAAGCATGCAAGACATACTAAGTCTATAATCACTATGCAACAACAACATGGTAGGTTAGGAGACACGCCTCCAGTAACTTCCTATCAGTTACTCTACGCTTCGTGTAGCCCTCCCCGGCAATGGCGATTGCAATGCAATCAAACTGGTAGCCTATCAATGACATGACAAGGACTAATGGGTTTACTGGCAACTCGAGCAATCCTCCTCAATTTAATTCTTACGTTAACACTCCGTCCCTCGGACGATCAACAATCGATGACTAATTGATAACGTTATTATCAAAATAACACTTAAGTTAACTTAATCTTGTCTCCCACAGATAAATCAAACTCTACAACTGTCACTAGTAACTCAGAATTACACAAACACTCCACCCGTCGAGCATTCAGTGAGTAATCCCCATTAATCCCTGTACTCCAGACAGCAGATTAATCCAGGTACGAGTTACGTTATCGGTTACTATTGCCCCTTCGATAGTTCACTACAATCACAATGTCCAAAGTGCTAAGAGAACGGCAATTACCTACGACTACCCTCGAGCCATTAATTACTCTCTCGAAGATCAATAATTAATTAATACACAAATACGTCACCATTCACACTGGCTCAGCAATCATAACATCAATGGCATGAACTCCCTCTGGGCCTTTCCATACCCCGACGAATTCTGGTGACTAGTTCACGATCCCCACGAACCGATAATTGATTACCATGTCTACATTATTTTACCATGACGTTACTCTCCCAAGAGTCAATCAAATTACCTGTCCATTGACAGATATTTATAACTGACGTTACGTTAATGAAACAATGGAGCCTTCGTGTGAGTCGATCATCCCTGATCGGAGTTGACTTCCTGGAACCTGTTAATTATCTGTCCAACTGACAGATAATATATTTTTTTTTTTATTTTTACATGCGAACATGCGAATAAATACAATACAATAAATACAATAAAATAAGCAACCAATAACAAACAATCAGACAACAACAAAATACAAAAGCACAAAGCAAATTAATACAAAGTGACACAAATACACTAAATACCGGCCTGAAGGGCCGACAATAAAAACACAACAATGAGCATAAACACAATGAAACACAAGAAAAAGAAACAACAATACCGGACAGAAGGGTAACGGAAAGACAATAAATACAACAAAACAACGGTCATGAAAAACACAACACCGGCCTGAAGGGCGCACAATAGGTACAACACATTGCAACAAACCACAGGTCACAGCAAGCTCACAGACTACTCAAATTGTTCATACTTATCCGGCCACTCCGCCGCCGGGAATCGAGCACAATACGCTTCCCACAGTAACATGACGTCATCCGGAACAGGTTCATTATTAACAGTACGAGGATCAGGCATCAACTCGGGCACACCCACAACAAAACACCGAGCCCGCTGTACCCAGATGGAAGAAGGGCACCACGGAATAGGATGCACGCGGTCAACAATGTCAAACCGCAGAGGATGCTGAGCATCATGCGCCACGACGGAGGCCAAGACGAGAGGGAGGGGCTCCTTCCCACGAGGCCGGGCAATGGGCAGCGCACTGGGAGCCTCCTTGGCTGCCTCACAGGGCCCTGTGTCAACCACCGGACGTTGCACCTGCATGGACCCCCCACGCTTGGCATCCTTCTTCAGTACCAGCTTGAGGCCTCGGCTCGCACCAGAACTCTCACCATCCACGTCTGTAGGAGCGACCACCCCCCCCCCCCCCACTGCGGAGAACCTTCTGCAGGAGAAAGAACAGGAGGTAAATCATACGTACAACTATTGTCAACAGCAGACACATGGACGTCAGCAACCACCAGCGACGTAGAGCACGAAGCACCCGGAACCGCCACATCATCGCCCGAAGCTCCACCTGCGCCGAAGTCCTCCACATCAGCCCAAGCAGTTGAAGAATGCCTGGAACGCTTGGGCACCGGCCGCACAAAACTCTCAGACATCATAACGAACGCGGTGTTTCCCCATTACTACACTGTAATAAGGAAAGAGAGGGAAGGATGGTGAGGAGGTGGAGTGGCCCTACTAATGAGAAAGGAATGGAGCTTCAAGGAGATGGTAATCCCGGGCTGTGAGGAATTCAGAGACTACATAACAGGCACCATGACATTGGGAGGACAAAAAGTAGTAGTATCATTGATATATAACCCTCCACCAAATGACAGAAGACCAAGGAAAAAGTATGACAACAACAACATGGCAGTTATCAATATAATTGAGAAGGCAGCCTCTGCTGCCTGTAGAAATAGATCCCATCATCGCATCATGCAGGACTTCAATCACGGAAGGATAGGCTGGGAGAACCAGGAACCACATGGAGGAGAGGATAAATGGAGAGCCAAACTAATGGAGGTGGCGACAAGAAACTTTCTAAGCCAACATGTCAGGGAACCCACTAGGATGAGAGGAAACGCTGAACCAGCGAGACTCGACCTAGTCTTCACTCTGAGCGACTCCGACATAAGGGAAATCGAATATGAAGCCCCAGTAGGAATGAGCGACCACAGTGTACGGGCGTTTTAGTAACTGGTTGAGGAAGGGTTATTGAACTCGAGGAGGGGTACTAAAAACAAAAAAAACTGGCATTCCGAAAAGGAAACTATGAGGAGTTAAGAAAATTCCTAACAGATATAACATGGGAAACAGAGCTCAGAGGAAAGACGGCTCAAGACATGATGGACTTCATCACGCACAAGTGCAAGGAAGCAGCAAAAAAGTTTGACCCAGTCCAAAAAGAAAACAATGAAATGAAGATGAGAAACCCATGGTTTAATCAGAGATGTAGGCTAGCTAAGCAACAAAGTAAAAGTGCATGGAGAAACTATAGGAATAACAGGACACTTGAGAGCAGAGAAAGATACCAGAATGCCAGAAATGTATATGTCAGGATGAGAAGAGAGGCAGAAAGACAATACGAAAATGACATCGCAAGCAAGGCAAAGACTCAACCAAAATTGCTGCACAGCCATATCAGGAGAAAAACAACAGTAAAGGAACAGGTAATGAATATAAGGATAGGGGCAGAAGGATTCACTACAAACGACAAGGAAGTGTGTAAGGAACTGAATAAGAAATTCCAAGAGGTCTTCACCTTAGAGCAAGGAGAGATTCCAGAGATAAGAGACGGAATAGTTAACCAGGAACCACTAGAAGAGTTTGAGATTACCAGAGGGGAAGTGAAGAAGTGCTTACTAGAGTTGGATGTGACAAATGCTGTAGGCCCACATGGATTCTCCCCTTGGATACTAAGGGAAGGAGCAGAAGCACTGTGCCTGCCACTCTCCATAGTGTATAACAAATTACTGGCAACAGGGAACTGCCAGAAATTTGGAAGGCAGCTAATGTAGTTCCAATATACAAGAAAGGGGATAGACAGGAGGCACTGAACTACCGGCCAGTGTCCTTAACCTCCATACCATGCAAGCTGATGGAGAAGATTGTGCGAAGAAAGTTAGTGAAACATCTGGAGCGAAAGAGCTTAGTAACACAGCATCAACATGGGTTCAAGGAAGGGAAGTCCTGCCTCACAGGGCTAATTAAAT